GAGCGCACACAAAGCTAGACTTACGGGTTCTCTTGGGTTGTGGTCTTCTGTTTCTTCTTCAGCCATCTTTGACTGGCTGAAGATGAATTTGCTGAATTGGACTGTGCACCCATTCGTTTAATGCTGCGCAGCACTGTTTCCTTTGGTAGGAGAAAACGAAGTAGTTCTTGATACATTTCCGTTTTCCGTTCATTGACTACAGGTACCGTAGGAGGATCATCACTTATGGATGTGTCTGTCATTTTTTTCGTCGTCTGATTTCTATTTACTTCTGCCCAATCAATATCTTCCAACCAGTTGTCTCTGGCATCAACCTGTGAAACAAGTAGTTAAAACTGCTCCAATGTATGTACAGATTTTTTGAATACGAAATTCCCGTTCCCATCAAAATACCCATCTTCTTCGAGTTCCTCCCGCATGTTAAAAGGAGTGATTTTTATGCCATCGTCGTATTCCAGCGTCGCGTTTTCTTGTCCTAAAATATAAAGGAAATCAATCATCTTGAAAGCAAACATACCGTCAATATCAGCCTCCCTTAACCGGAAGCATTCGCTTTCTTGGTAGTCCTCCTCATCACTGTCTAAAGAAGGTTTTGAAATTTTCAAGGGCTTCTGCCTATCCTCGTCAAGAACCTAGAAATCACATCACAAGCAAGATAATCCATTTTTACTTCACCAAGTCCACCGCGCTTGGACATAGCTGACGGTCCAGAGAAAGAGAAAACAAACAACAATAGTCACTGTGATGGGCTCTCCACTGTTGAACTTGCAAGCCAATTTAACTGAAAATGAGCAGACAAACTGTCTCCAAACCGAGCGGTATCGAAAACAGTCAATAAAACATGGACAGCTGGTAAAAATAAGGCATCGGAAAGGAACAGCCTTCATTGTTACCAGAAACTGATATAGTCCTCAAGATGCATGTAGAAGGGGAAATTTGACGCAAAACTACCGGCCCAACTAACTAGGATCACAGACTGGAAAGCATTCAGATGGTGTATAGCAGCG